AGGTCATCAGGGCTGGACTGTTACATGTAGTCAAAGCTGAGACAGGCAGATCATCAGCAAGGAGGTTGTGGGGAATGTGGAGTCAGGGGTCATCGTGTCCCCCATGGGATGGCGGATTGGCACCAATCGGCCTCACCCCACCGTCACTCCTGGTGGCGATAGGTGCAGTATGTTGGCTCCAACATCACGCAGCCAGCTCCCCTGAAGCTGTGTAGGTCAGGGGGCAGGGTGATGGAGAAGGGATGGTGGTTAGCTGCAGTTCCACCTCTGTCCACTAGGGCGGCCCAGCCAGTGCCAGACCCTCCCCCACCCTTGACTCCAGGGGCCTGATGACGTCAGAGGGTAAACCCTGACGCGGACCGTGCAAGGTGAGCATTGGGGGGGTGGGGGAAGAAGGGCGCACGCATGCGCACCACCGCCCTCCCCACCAAAAAGCCGCGAATCCCTCTCAGCCAACAAGGTGCAGGGCTGGATGAACACAGCAGGCCAAGCAGCATCATAGGAGCAGAGAGGCTGACGTTTCGGGCCTAGACCCTTCATCAGAAAAGCCGTTTTCCTCCTTTCCCCGCGCCCTTTCACTCTCACCCTTGTCCGTTATTCCTATAAATTCCTGGGCTCACCCGCCCTCTTGTCTTTGTGTGTATATGTGTCCACGCCCGCCTCCTGGCTCCGCGCTCGGGGAGGGAGGGGTGGTGCCGGAAGGTGGGAGGGGACGAATGGGGAGCCCGACCGCGCGGGTGTCGAGGGAAAATGGAGGCGCCACGGTTGGGATTTGAAAAAGCCCACGCTCACCGGCCTCCCAAGAGCCGAGCACATGCGCAGGGGCGGGAAGTTGCGGAGAAGGGCTGGGCTTTTATTTCCACCGCTTCCCTCCCCGCATGCGCATTTTGATGGTGGGAGGCGGGGAGGTATTCGGCGTCGTCTTCGGTGACGTCACAGCGCCTGATGGTGTGTGGGGGTCATTTTGTCACGTGCCCTCCCCGACCCCACCAACTGTCAGTCGCTTCCAACTTTATTGATGGCGGGGGTCAAGGGTCATGTGGTTAAGGTCAGGTTTGGCTCGAAGGGTGCTCAAGGGTCACCGGACCGGAAACGTTAACTCTTGCTTTCTCTCTCCACAGATACTGCCAGGCCTGCTGAGTTTCTCCAGCTCCACACTTATGTTATCTTTGACTCCAGCATCGGCCGCACTTACTATCTCTGAGAAGATATGCTGGAGTTGTTTTCCTTCATTTCACTCTTCTGTATTTTTGGTTGTGGGCTGAATTGGATAAATGGTTGTTTTAAAGTCTGAGGAAGGATTGTTACTTTTTTTTAAAAAGTAAGCTACCAATACTCTTTGTAAGTCCTGTGATATACTGAGACTGTTTGTAGTGCTTGTTGAACAAATTGTGAGCGGAGGTTATAGCAAACAAGTTGCAGCCAGCAGGTGTGTGCAAGTGGAGAATGGGCTGGCAACAAATTGATTAATGATCTATGGACTGGTGACCAGCTTTAAATGACAAAGGTCCCCTGTCTACCAAGAACTATGGGTTTGGCTCCCATGTAACTGAACAGCTTGTAAATATGAACAATCAGGGAAGAGTCTTCCGACATCTGGAAAAGGGAAGTGGTGTCTCTTTAGTAAAAAGTACCTTAAGTTTGGAGAAAGTGACTGCAAACAAATGAAAGTACTTGGAGAACAGAGATCAAGGAACAGCAAGCCAAAAGAATAATTTCGGTAGATGCTGTGGACAGAATGTTGAATTCCCTCCTGTCATAACACCAATGTACTTTGTCTGTCTGTATGTAAAAATAGGAGATTTAACAGAGGATTAGAATTTTAACTGGTATAATTATATATTGATAATTATTTACCTGTAGGTAGAATATGTTTATTTATAATAAGGTCATTCTTGTTAAGTACAGAAACCTGGTTTCTGACAACCTAGGGCCAGAAAAGACAGGCAAATTGTGGAATTCTGCATGCTTTAATAAAATCTTTACTTTTTGTGATGACTTCAGGAATAGCAGGGGTTGATTTCCAGCTCGCCCAGTGAGGCATGATATTACCTCATGCTCCCTTCAAGGATATTTCTATAAGGCCACCAATGGAGGAATATAGTGTTTTGACACCAAGCCACATAATCAGCCTATTAGGCAAGGTAACCAAAAACATGGTGAAAGCAG